GCATGCTGTGCACTAGAAAGTTGCTCTGCAAGGGCTTCTTCTTTCCTTCCTTCATCATATCTTACATTTATTTTCCAAAGGGGCAATTGGCACTCAGCAAGAATTAAAATTCAAAGCGACAAAACTACATATATCATCCACACATTAAGACTTGAGTACATACTCCATGGTTTTCTTTCGTTTTCTTTCCTGTGATAATATAAAGTCTAAAAAAGGTGTTTCGACAAACATCAGCAAAATTATCCCTGCTAAACAAATCAGGACCAGAGATATTCTTGATCCTTAGATCAACTAGCACATGAGGACAAGCCTTTCTGGGTCCCTTCTCCATACTCTAATGCAGAATTATTGTTCTTTGTGTGTATTTCTCATTCAATGTACATGGAGTAACCTGGGGGCTATGTGCAGCAGTGCAGCCCATTAGAGAGATGCTCTCAAGGGTATAAAAATGGAAGAATGTGCTGTATATATGTGGATGTGGGAAGAGACACCTAAATATAAATTGAAAGTAAGTACACTGTGCCACTATCCCTGAGAAGGGCACAGGTGCTGTGGCCAAATGCAGTACTTATGAGATTTGGGGTAAAATATCTAAATCGATAAAACTCTTAAGAAAGGTGACAGAAAAGGAAGAGAGAATGGCAATATTGTTTCATTGACTTACTGATTTGATTTTCCAAGATTTTTTTTTGTTGTTTTACACTCTGTAAAGAAGCTAGTGTTGGAATCAGTGCCACTTTTCTTGGTGTTCTGGATTCTAAAGATGCTCTGTAATTGAGTGTAGTTCAACAATTTAGTCTTTTGTGTTTTTTTAATACAACCACCACCAGTATAATCCTGCCTGGAGTATCAGTGCCTTTTATTTGGATCTGATGTACTGTCTTTTAGTAATAAAATGAAGGTAACATTAACATATATTGTAAATTTAGCTGAATATCATTTTTAATAACTAAAGATTACAAGTGGGAGAACTAATCATCAAATGATAGTTTATTAATGACACTGACATGATTTCAAAATAGATTTAATAAAACATTTAAGATTACATTCTCTTAAAGGAAAATGTTATGTGTTGGCTCATTGAAAAAATGATACTGATAAGTCTGTCTAGGGCCAAGGTTTAGAATGCACCTGGATTCTCATTAACTGAAAACTGAGAGCTGTGGATGTGTTCTGTAACTCCAGAAATAAAAAAACCCAAACCACACAAACAAAAAACCCCACTACAATGACCTGTACATTTTATCTCTGATCTCATTTTCATGAATGATTTAAATAAATGGATTAAAGTCATGTAAATTGAATACTTAAATTAAGCCATAGACTTCAGTGGGATTCGTTTGATTTTCAGCATAGTAATAACTTCTCAAGGAGCACTTGAATCCATAGGATTTATCCTCAAATATTTTAGTTTAGATGTGCAAAATATTATTGTTTGATGAGTATTGTAACTTGGAAGTATGGTAAAATTAACTCCTGGAGAATCATATTCTTCCTAGAGGTGTTACATATGTAGTTATGATTCCCGTTTTGTGAAAACTTGTTCTCCCATACAGTACATTTTAAAGTTATTTAGAAAAGAGTTCCTCAGAACTGTGCTGCCTGAGGGGAACAAAGAATAACCGCTGCAAACCACTTTTTGACACAGACACACAATATCTGAAATATGGAAAGATACAGTAAATCAAAAAGATAAACAGAAAAGTATGGCAAAAACCATAGGGATAATCATAAAGTTATAAATAAAATGTGAATGTCAAATTGAAAAATGCACACATTGCCTTAGAAGCCAGCAACCAGAACACCATAACATGCAAACAGCAAAGTGGAATCAAGCCAGTGGTCCATCTAACCCATCCAGCAATGGTCATGATGAGAGGCTGTGGAGAGAAGAGGATAGGGGCACAATAAACATGTGCAATATTTTTCCTAATATTTTCCTATCCCAGAAGAGACAGATGAGATCAGACTGAAGCAAATTTTTGCCAGAATTCCCCATGCTCAGTAAGTATTCCTAAATTTCAGAGGACATCTCTGTAACCACAGGGTCATGCTTCTGAGTTCCACAGTCTCAGATACTTCTCCTGTTGTCCCTGTGGCACACGTGGAAAGTCAAGAAAGAAAAGTTTTGTATTAATCTAGAAAAAAATTCATTCATAATCTCTGAAAATAGATGTTAAATTATCTCTGTAGGACTGAGCAGCCATAAAGTCAACTGGTACTACTCAAAGCTAATGAGTGTGGCAAGAGGGAAAAGTCATGGAGTGGCTCGCTCAAGTTTCTCTCCGTCATGTCGCCAAGGACATAACTATCCGAGATGGCAGCTGCCTCCATCATACAGGAGGGACAGAAAACTGCAAACGTTGCTTCAGAGGGATCCGCACACCCCTTAAAGGCCTCTCTCAAATGAAGTTGATTTGGTTTAAAAATAATTTGTACTTCCGCCACTAATTTGCTCCAGTAAAAGTTTATTTTAATTTCGGAAAGGAAAAATCTACAATATTCCCTAAAGGTGCAAGTCTGCTTAAAAGGTTTCTTAAATTATTCCAAAGTAAATGGCAGCCCAAACAGGCCACTTTTCTGTGTGTTTCTCTTGCTAAGGCAGAAATAACACTGGTGAAGCTAAAGTGCACAACTTCTCAACCTGAGTGTTTATTGGGCAGCATTGTATCTGTTTGGGTGACACTGATGCTGTCAGGCTATTACAGATTGAGTTACAGAATTATGTGATGTCTGAGGGACTATAAAGCAATCAAAAATTCTGATGGCTTACATAAAGGAATATCTCGGATCTTTGATGATCAATAAGAGAAAGATGACAAATGGGTTTTTATTCCTGAGACATATGGAATTAAGAAAATTAGAGAAATGAAAGAAAAACTATAAATTCTTTCAGAAAACTACATCATCACATTTTAGATTGCTAATCACAAATTCTAATCTGACCTATCTAGTCAAATTGTTTCCTTCCTCATGTCCTCTATTTTCCCTTAATCTTTCAGATACTATCCGTTAAAAAGAAAGACGTGGAGATTAAAAAGAATGAGAAATAAGTGAAAAATAACGGTAAGAATATAACACCAGCAGTAGTTAGACTCATCCTCTGTATAGGTCAAAGGTATCACTACAAAATATGGAGAATTATTATTGCAGTGAACTAAATAAGATACTGACATCTAAGAAATACCAGAATA